AATGTGCTTTTCTTGTATGCTGGAGGGAACATCTGTGATGATAATCATGCTGTTGACGTACTAAGAGAACACAAATTACATTCCATTAAATAAGGTTTTTGTCGTAGGACAAGTCACTCATTACGCTGCGTTGGGAATTGCCTCCTCCCGGCTGTCTAGACCCAGGAGATGAGGCACGGGGAAAATTTGCTTGCTTCTGCATGTACGGATCAGGTAGCAAGATTTTATTTGAAAAGTGCTAACTTGATGACATTTGCTATAATTAATCATGTGGCATTTAAATAGGTGAAATTACGGTGCCGCTGTGGCACAGACAGCCAGACTGAATGAGAGGCTTCACAGATGAACCCCCCGAGCTGGGGCTTGACCCGTGGTTGGCATTTGCACGTTCGCTCCGGCGTCGCCAGACCCAGGCAGAGGCAGCTGGGGGGCTGGCTCCTGACCTCCCCTCGCTGATGGACCCCGGGCTTCCCACAGCGGGGTGGATGTGTTTAACCCTGCCTTTAATTCAAACTGCTCCAGAGACTTGGGTCACTCGTAAATAGAGTCATCAGACCATCACTGTCTCCGTTTCAAATTCTGGAGCTCTTCCATGCCTGCATTGGTGAGAGCGAAGATTTATTTCTTCCTGTCTTCTGAGCCTCTGGATTTTTATGGCTGCGTTGCTGTCCCTGAGGAATATCTGACACTGCTTTTGAACTCGGGTATCGGATGCTTGCCTGTCAGATGTCACCTGTCAAGAACGGCTTTCCACTTTAACTGCACTTGTACTCGGTACAGCAGCCACCCGGGAAATGAAAGTGTGTGGGAAAAAGGGAGGTGATAGAGGGAGGAGCCGTCCGGCTTGCAGTCCCTGTTGGAGACCTGTAGGGCGCTGCAAAACAAGCCCAGTCTTGCAGCTTGGTGCTGCATGGGTTCAGGAGAGAGGTGGTGGCTCTCTTACTCACCCGGCATCTCACCCCAGAAGCAAGCCTGCCGGGATGTCACGGACAAGATCTCCGGGAGGGTGTTTTTCTCCCACAGCTCGGGGTAGTGCAGCGGAACTGCAGAAAGCGCAGCTTCTGCGGCGGTGGGGTGGTGATGGTGAAAAGGAGAGAGCCTTATCCTTTATTTCACCTTTGCTCCCGATGAAAGCGTCCGATTGTTGTTGTTGTTGGTTTGTTCTCTTTATTAACCTCGACTGGTTTTTATTCCTTAAAGCTGTGGGTCAGCCACGGCGCAGAGGTAGGCAGGAACGATGAGCAGTGGAGGCAGGCCGGTGACTGCCTCCAGAGGGGCAGAGCTACGAGGCCCTCCCCTTAAAAATAACACTTCACACAGGAGTTTTTAAATCTTTTTTTTTGAATACATTTTTTTTCTTTCTTTTGAATGGGAAGCACCTTTAGCAGGTCGTGTTCACTGAGAAATCTACACAATTATTTGTAGTAGGACCGTCAGGTGTAAAAATTTCTTCCTTGTAATTTCAAAGCCATTAGCACCATTTGTGCGTGCAGTTGATGTTAATAGAAGTGATAGGCAAAAAATAAAGAGCGAGCCAATTCAGTCTTTTCCTGCTCAGGAGGTCGTAGCGCAGCTGAATAACCTTGAGGAGCAGGCTGTTGTGTTAGCCAGCGATGCCCTTGAGCTGTCCTACCCATTTCACTTTCACCAGGTTCCTGAAGAGTTGCTCTTCCCAAGGTGCAGTTTTGTCTTGAAGAAATACCGACTTGTAGCGCTGTGTGAAAACACGCCAGCACACATAGCAGAAACCAATTCCCTCGGCAGCAAACAAGGAAAGGATTTTTATCATTTATGCTGGATATACTCCAAGAATTCTCTCTTCAGTTTCCTTATTATCTTTCATGTGCAATATTCAATTAAACCTTCTCTCAAATTGGCCATAACTTTCAATGAAAATTAAAGCAGTTCTATTTAGGTAATGATACCCGTCACCGGGCTTAATGTTGAGAGAGAATAGGAATGGTTTCACCTGTTCATGTGAATTAACCTCAGCTGACATTCTTCGTGTTTCAATTCCTCAAAAGCACAGAAAGACAACAAGCATTTAGCACCCTGCTGGATGTGCTGGCTCTCAAGTTGGGGCTACTGGAGGCATATGGGAAAAATAGTCTTCATTTGGAATGTATTTACATCAATCTGGCATTTTTTGGATAGATTTTGTGATTCACTAGGAAAAAAGGAATATATATATATATGTGTGTGTGTATGTATGTACCTCAGCAGAAGCTAGGATAGCAGAATGTTCTTTTAAGTTATCTGTCACATTCCCTCCAACAGCATATGGCCATACCCCTCGTACTGTGTTTAGAAATGTTTCTTTTATCATGAAATCTACTGAAATTTCCTGTATCCTGCATCTTACTGAAAGAAATAAACTTCTCTCAAAGGAGGCAGACCCAGAGCAGTAGTACATTTGTTTCACCTGACAGGGGGGAAAAAGAATGCTTTTTTGGTGACCAGTCTTGTTTGCAACTTGTCGTAAGCGGAGGGCAGCTCAGTATTCGTTCTGGGTTACCTTATTTCAGGCTCGAGGAAAAGAAACGTAACTCAGAAAAATAAAATCTGTCACTGGGAGAGTGTCTCAACGGTTACCTCGTCCAGGGAGGTTACTTACTGTGTTTTCCCAGGACAGTAACAAATGTGTAAGGAGTAGCACAAGTTAGCTGCTGAGCACCACGAAGAGCGAAGTGAGCTAAAATAACTGAGTGGCTTTCATGTGTCCGTGCACATACATGCACTGCTTCCTTGTTCTGTTTGATTAAATAACCAAAGGAGAGCCTAGTGAACTCAACCTGATAAGAAGGGCAAGGGAAAAGCCTGCCAAGCTCTGGGAAGAGCCTCCTCCTGGCATTGGTGGCCTTCTGGGGATCAAGCAACTAGTAGTGTTCATCAGTGATAAGCTAAAAATGTGTTGTCACTCTGTGATTGTAACTCCCTGAACGTTATTGCAATAGAAATGAAGTTACCGCTTTTGTTTTTAAAAAAAAATCACATGCAAAGTTATCCAGATAGCAAAACTTTGCTCCCACAAAACCAGACCCTGTCATAGGGCAAATCCATTTGCCTGTGCTGACTCTAAACGTCCGAGATCTGTTTCTACCCACCAACATGTTAGTCAAAAATGGACTATTGATGGTACAGGTACTTTTAGTTTTCTGTCTGTAAGAATCTAGACAGCAGTTTGGTTTTTGATTAGTAACTATTTAGTGTTCTTTGAACCAAATCCTCCTCTTCTGAAAGGTGTTGTGGCTCAACTCCGCGTTGGGATCTGGGCTGCAGCGATTTCAATCACCCATTAGACTGTAGCAAAGGGACTGTACAGGCTGAAGATTAAATAGTTTGGACTTGCTTATCTTGGTTATACACAGGCAGCAATAAGAGAAAGAAGAAGAGCACTCAAAATAATTTTATCTACCTAGCGTTGCAAGGTTTTTCCTTCTCTTCTGTTCCTCTGATACGCTGGCAGCTCTTTCAGAGCTTCCTCTTGCCTTACTCAACGCTGTTCTCTTGAAAGCCAAGTAGCCATCGCAGCAGGGCTTCCTGCTGGCTAACAGGAAGGGCAAGCGTGGTTTTTTGCCATATAAAAGCAGAATATTAAACAGCATCAGCGGCAGATGCAATATTTGGAGAGCGATTTCATTTGATCTTCTGTGAGCTTCTATTTTAGCTTGGGCAAATTAAGTTATCGAGTCTTTTCACCTATTTGTGACCGTTTCTACCTTCGTAGAACTCTACCTTTTGTCTGATGTTCTAAACTGTACTTCGCTTACTAATTATATAGGCAGATTGTAGTGTTTCTTACACATGTGACACCCTATCGAACACCCCATTGCGTCATGTGGACCAGTTTCATTGTACCTCAAAGACCAGTGTCTCACCCCAGGACGCTACGCCAAACCGGTTGGGGCCTTGATCCTTCAGCCAAGAGGTGTCCAGGACCCTTAGATTTGTCTGTGTGTCTCTTTCCCAGCTGGATGAGGTGAGCTGTCTTGCTTTTTAATGCGAGGTGTGTTTCCCTGTGAGGGGAGGAGGTCCAAGACGCTGACCTTTAGCGTGATGTGATGCGATATAAATCGACACGCCGTGATGGAAGGAACAGCAAGTGACAGCGTGGCGTGACTTGAGTCCTGTGTGGGGTGTGAGGAGATGACGCGGCCGGTGCAACGTGTTGGACCTGAGTCAGCACGGCTTGCTGAGCGGGTTACCTGGGATGGGCTGGCGTGTGCCTGTCCCGGCACAATCGGGCTCCTGACCTAGAGGACCTGAGCACCAGGCCAGCTTCTGTATTTCACAATTAGAAAACTGGATGCGTTCAAATATATTTCAATTCTCTTGTTTTCAAACCCATTAATAGAGTGCTCAGAGCTATAATCTTTGTGGGCCAGGTTGCAATATTCTTTCTTACAGTGCACGAGACTGTTTAAGGCGTGAAGCAGCCCTGGGTCTCAGAAACAAGTCAGGATATCATAATCTAGCCCTGTATGCTTTATGGTTATTATTATCTTCTTCTGCCAGCAACAGTAAGTTGCACACAGGTATAATTTAAAGATAGAGATTATGTGAAATGCGTTTTGAATAATAGATGAGTCTCAGTCAGATATCGTTAACATATAATTAAAGATAAATACAACAGATATGCCTGTATGCTTAGTGCATTCTCTTTTGTGGTGGTGCCCGAGGGAGGAGACGTGGGGGAGAGGTTGCTCCATTATAATCTTCCTGGCAGAGTCTCTCTGAAATCCTTCTGTGGAGACGACAGAATTTTCTCTCTGGAGCGAAGAGCTATTGTTCTGTCCCTAATAAACCCAGCTGACTTCCCAGTGTGGGGGGATAGGAGGGCTATTCACATGCATTCTCCCCCTCCCATCGGGAAGATGCATCATCTTCTGTTCATTCCTTTTTCTTTCTTATTTTTTTTGAATATCCCACCATCTTTATATTTTATTTATTCATTCTCCTCTGACCTCCTATGCCCACAAATTCCCTGCCTGTCCATCAACATGGACTTCTGGCAGCAGGCTAGACGGCAGCGTGGTTCCCTGGCCAAAGGGACGTCCGTGCTCGCGTCCCTGCGAGTCCCAGCCCTCGGCAGCGAGGGAGCCGGGGAACTGGCGGCAGTGCCCTGGTGGCCAATGCCATTGCCCTGTGCCCCGCCGGCGCTCTGCAGCAACAGAGGTCGTGGTAGGGCAGAACACGATCGGAAAATGTTCCGAAAAGGTTAAAGAAAAGCTCCGTCCGTTCAGCTAGGAGAGTCGCCGGCTGTGAGCGGTTTCACTGGGTCCTTACTCGCACTGCGCTTAGGGGAGGCAGCTGGACATCGGCACTGAGGAGTGGGAAAGCCTCTGTTCAGTCAAGATGCTGATCTTTTCAGAGAAGAAAAGTTTGTTTTATGTTCTCAACAGCTACCGAGAAGAGAAAACTGTCTAATACAAACAGGATGGAGAGCAGTGAATTTACGGTGTAACTTTTGGTGGGTGCTTTGAGCGGTATTGGCGTGTTTCGTGAAATCCTGTACTCTAACTGCGAAGTGGCAGGCGGAGAAAAGCTGTAGCTCAGGACTGTTCCTGTCAGCAATGCTCACCCTTAGTTCCAGGTTTGAAAAAGGAGAAACTGATAAGATGAAAACTGAAAGTGCTTGAGGAGAGAGGAAAGGAATTACGAAGGAGTTAATAACATGAAAGATAAAAATGTATTTTTAAAATAAGGAACAAAAGCCGGTACAAGGAAGGGTCCTATCGGTCATCCCCAACCTCAGACTGTTGGACCGCTGTGAAACAACTACTGAACTCTCTGAAGGTCGTGTCAGGTTGTTTTGCCAAAGCATTCTCACTCTTACACCTATATTTAGAGTGAGTTTTTAATACTCCAAAGTGCACAAGCATGTAACGTGCTCGCCAGCGTGGTTCATACCGAGCGCTCGGGACCTTCGTCCCCGGGGAGCACAGCGAGGCGCAGGGGCTGGTGCCTGCGGCATCGCCCCTGGGGAAGGGCTGGAGGTGGGAAAGGGTTCACGTGGGCAAGGGTCCCCTCTGAGGGACCGGTGCTCAGTTACACCCCGTGGCTGCAAAGAGGTTTCGACCCAGGGATGGCAGAACCAGTTGTAACGGAGGGGCTTCCTGGGGGCTGGAAATGCTGGTGAACCTCCAGCTCGCATTAGTGTGTAGCGGTGCTTAATAATGTGGGGGTTTTAATTTACGGTGAAAATATTTAATTTTTTAAAGGTGAAACTAAGCATTGAGATTTGAAGTGAGCTCTGCTGTGACGATAGGATCGTGCTCATTCTTGTTCTTTTGAACTTTGGGAAAAGCTTCAGTCTGTGCTGTGTTTAGGGCACAAATATTTTCTTGAGCGTTGACTCCACATGATGTTCAATGGCTTTTGGAAAAAAAAAAAAGGCTATTATTTAAAAAGAAAAAGCGTCGTTATCACATCTTTTCTAGGGTGAATGATACATATTTAGGGCACAAATATTTTCTTGAGTGTTGACTCCACGTGACGTTCAATGGCTTTTGGAAAAAAAAAATTAAGCTATTATTTAAAAAGAAAAAGTGTCATTATCACATCTTTTCTAGGGTGAATGATACATGGCCTCTTGCTGCTAAAATACTGTTTTATATTTTGCCACTGGGTACGTGGACATTCCGTCAAGTCTCTGTCACGTTTTTCCTCTGTTTAACGCAGATGACAACACACTGCACGGGCCAGTTTTCCTTCAGGAGCCCAACAGCATGATCTTCCCCTTGGATTCAGAGGAAAAGAAAGTGAAGCTGAGCTGCGAAGTAAAAGGAAATCCCAGACCGACCGTTGGGTTCGTTGAATGTTTAACTGTTCTTTGGCACGATCTCCGCGCTAGAGCAGTATCGCCCGAGAGCCTTTCTCCTGGGTGTGTGTGTCATGCAAAATAACTCACGGTGCCCCTGGGGTCTACCACAGTGCTGATAACCCAAACCACAGGCGTCGGGGCGTCACCACGTATTGCAAGGCAATTGCAAAATCTGGGCAAGAGTTCAAAAAAGGTTACGAAGGGATTGTAAATAGTCTGTGCTCCCAGATTAACCATCCTTTTCCATGGCCGTGGACAAAGCTCTTAATTGTTTCCAGCTTTAATAACTGCTTTGGGATCCTGAGGGGAAAAGATGCTGTACAACTACGGTGCTGCCGCTGCTGTAACTCATTTAGGCGGCTGGTTTTTTTTCCTTCAGTGCCTTTCTCATTTCGTTCACCCAAGTAAACGCCACTCCGAAGCACATTAGAGTTGTCAGACCTCAGCCACCGTGCTGTCTGCTGACACGACCGACTATTTAATGCCATAAACTCTGTTAATTCACTAGTGCAAACATGTTCGAAAGGTTTCTCTGTACGTTCTGGTAAAGGGGGCTGCTCTGCGGCGGTGGCTCCATCGAGGGCTGGCGGGGATGAGGGTTGCTGTAACTGGGGCAACGTGGTGCTGGAATTTCTCGGTGTCCCAGTTTGTGACAACATCAGCTGTGACTGAGTTTTCTTAAATTTAAAACCACACAGCCAGCAAGTCAGGAGAGATAAAAAAAAAACCCTTGGTGGGCTTGAGTGGTTTAAAGATCCTGTTTCTGGGACTTCCCCTTGCAAAATGATTAATTTCAAAGAGCAGCAGCACTAGCAACTACAGAAGCATTAATCACGTCAGAGACTGAAATATATGTCAAGGATATTGCTCTTTCAGTTAAATACTGGAATATTTCAATACTGTGCAGGAAATTTGCATTTTCATGCTTTTTTCTTTTTTTTTTTGATAAGTAGTCAAAGATGTTTTAAATCTTTCTTTATTTACTTCATGTGGTATTTTCAAATACCCAAGAGTATCCATTAATATTTGCAGAATTTAACTTTGGCATTTTGTGCTACAGGTGGAAGTTAAATGGAACCAGTATTGACATCGGTATGGATTACCGCTACAGCGTGGTGGAAGGCAACCTGTTGATCAATAATCCAAATAAAACCCAAGATACTGGAACATACCAGTGTGTAGCAACAAACCCGTTTGGAACGATCGTCAGCAGAGAAGCGAAGCTTCAGTTTGCCTGTAAGTAACAACGCAGCCGCCGTTCCTGCAGCATGCTGAAAAACGGAGCGCGCAACGCCTCCTTTCCTAACCTTTTCTGATACGTTCTGTGGTATTCTCTGGGCTGCTCATGGAGTAGGGAAAACACGTGGATTTAGAGGGAAATGTGGATGAGGAACAGAGGCTTTGCTTTCTAATTATTTAGCTAAAATTATGTGTAATATGCAGGGTAAATGTCTTACTTTTGAGAAGGAGGCCGCTTAGGAAAGTAACTTGACAAAGAGGATCTCACCGTTGATTTTTCCTTTCCTTGGAGAATTAAAGCTTCAAAATGTTTGAAGGAGCATGCTCTTTATAAGGAATAAATACACAATGACAGTTTTCACAGAGCCTACATTCCAGTACTTAGGTGCAGGTACTTTCAGGTGTAGGTGGTATTTCGTAACTGTGTGTGAAAGGGAAAACAGGCTGCTTCGTATTGATTTTGGGTTAAATTCGGAGTTACTGCTTCTTGTCGAAAGCTAAGGATAACAAAAGAGGCGGGTCTTGATGTGAATTAGCATTGAATGATGTGAGGCCACCTTGAGGTACAGGATAAAGTCTGTACCAGCGGGCAAATGATACCGCAGGACCACGAGTTGTCTTTTTTCTCGTGTAGTTGTGAAGGTGAAGGCAGAGAATAGATACACGGGCTCGTTCATCCATCATCTCAGTGATTTCCCTGTGCCGGTGTCCTGCGGGGGGTGTACACAGCAGCTTAGTAATTACAGCAGGAGCTGCTGTGAAACAGCCTTGCACACACGTGCGGGAGTTCCAGGCCATCCCTTCCCAGACATGAAGCTATCAGTAACGGGGAGCTGGGCTTTCAGTAGAGCGTCGAACGCTTTTGACCGACTGGTAGGAGAAGCTGATGTGCTCCAGCTATAAAAATGAGAAGGTAAAAATGCCAATAAACGCCAGGTTCACACAATATAGAGAGATGATTTGTAATGAGAACTGTTACTGTGAGTAAAGTCGAGTCCTCTGTCTCCCCACGTGGTTTACAATATATTATCCGTTTGCTTACGACCTGCTTGTGTTTTTCTGCGACTGAAGGTGCGTTTTCACTCTGGGTGGGTGATGCACAGGTTCCCCAAGACCAGCCTCATCACGCCAGATTTCAGTATGTCAAGGTGATCACTTCATAAACACTGTGTTGGTCTGCTTCTCTGGACAGTGCGTGTTTCACCGCAGGCTCTGTCTTACCAACCGTGGCCTTCTGCAGGGTGAAGCATCGTGATTCAGAGCAAAGCACATCAACACCCCCTCACCTGAGGGTCGTAGTGTTGGCTGAAGTCAGTCATTTTAAGGACCAGCCAGGTACCAGGTTGCAGCTCCTTAGATGCTGGTCCTGGGCTTCAAAGTTCAGGATGTGGGAAAAAGGAGGGAGGATCCTGATGCTGGCAAGTGCAGTAGCCATGGACTACGTGAGTGGAAATACATGGAGTTCCTTGCTTGTTTAAATCGTTAGGTGCTTGTTTAAATTGTTAGGTGCTTGTTTAAATCGTTAGGTGCTTGTTTAAATTGTTAGGCGCTTATTAACCAAGAGCTGCAAACACAGAGAATTCTGCACAAAAATAAGAAACCTTTACTATTTTATCTTTGCTTCAGGTATGGAGTGTTTTTTAAAATTCTGGTTAATTTATCTATCTCAATGAATGATACATCTGGCAAAAAGTCTTTCAAGTTTTCTAGCTAACCAGCTACAAATTTGGTTTGACTGATTCTCAGTTAAGACAGCTGAATTCAAAACCAAAGCTTGTTCTTTTGCACTTAAAGTAATGGTGGGGAACTTGAATAAATGTATTATTTTTGATTCCTAAAATTTAGCTTAGATTGCTAAAACGGCATAATCAGATTAGAAACATTTGGATTAAGTATAAAAACTTAGCATTTATCGAGATAGGCTCTGTGCTTTCACAAAACAGTGAGTCATTTGGCCTTGTATAATCAAAGGGTTTGCAAACGGAATTAGCCGAATTACGAAATACACAGAGTGGTTTAAGTTTATTAGAAAAGCTCTGCCTCTAAGAACCAGTAAAAATGGGCGGCTGTATTAGTCGTGCCTGGTTGTCATCCTTGGCATCCAAGACGTGTGGATGCAGTAGCGCCGCTCAGCGTAACTCCTTGACGTTACGTGGGTTTGTTCCAACCGGGATCATTTTTGAATGCCCTTCTGTAGGTTCTGTGGGGAATAACCAAAACCCTGTTTGTTTTCAGTCGCTCTCTCAGGAATTTTCACTTTTAGGTTCTTTTCCTTGGACTGACACCCTGGTCTGGCACCTCGGTTGCACGTGCAGACTCTGACCCAGCTCCAGCACCTCGGCTTGGTCTCCTGTGCCCCGCTATGTCACGTATTGCGATTTAGCTGGGAAAGCCGTGTGGTTGGAGACTCAGGACTGTGCTGCTTGGCCGATCCGTAGCTTCTCCCTTCATCCGAGCAATCCCTTGCCTTCCAGCCTGATTGGTCCGTTGTGTGATTTTTGTGTTAGCTCATCTTTATTTCTGAGGGAAGTTAATTGCAGAGTCTTTTGAGACTAATGTCTGGGGTTTTGAGCTTTTTTATTTTCTCCTCGTAAGGGTTAAGTTCTGAGTCCTGAGGCATCATTAATGTATGGTCCTTCGTTCTTCAAGGCCTGTGTTATTCTTCTCTCACGTTTTCACTGAAGATTAAACTGCGATCTAGCTATTCAACCTCCTGTGGAGGTCAGCGAGGGTCAGCAATTTAATCCTTGAAATATGTATTTAGGTTACAAACTCATTATGATAAAAGTGCTAATATTTTCCCCCACTACTTGCTTTGTGATATATCATTTACATTTCAAATTTGTTCTCTTTCTCCGCCCCCCCCCTCCGCCCCAGTGCTAGTTGTCTCTGAAATTGAACATATTTTCAGAAAGCAAGGAATCTGCTCTGCCACAGTAACAGAATATGGATTAATGATACCCTAAACTCTGTGTTTATAGCAATACAGGCTCTCAGAAAATAAAAAAAGCTTTAAACTCTGAGCATGGATTCTAATAATGGCTTTTCCAAAATGATATACGAAAACACAGCTGAACTAGATTAAATCATGTGCTTTTTATTTTAGGGGTTGGGGCTTAGCTTGACAATTTTATTCACTGTACTGTAGTTTCTGTTTGGAAATAACACTGAAATCAATGAGAAGTTACGCCTGGAAAGAAATGCAGCTCTGATGCAGCAGTTTAGAGCTGTACCCACCCATTCAGGCCTATGATTAAAGCTGTTTACTACGGTCCAGATCCTGCTTCCGCTTCAGTCGAAGATAAAACTTGTATTGATTTTTAGTGGCACCAGAGCTGGACCATACCCCTCAGAAAGTGATGAATTTGCGAGCTGGTTCCGCCTGCTCAGCTCCGGTTCCCTTTGGCACGACTCGAAGGTGCTGAGCAGCTCTCGGCTGCGGGCAGGAGAGCGGCACGGCGGGAGCGGGATGGGAGCCTCCCTGCCAAATGATTTCTGCTGGCTGTGAGGTCGTGTACAGAAGGGAACGTTAGTGCCCGCAGCTGCTGAAAGCTGCCTTCATGCCCACGTCTCTGTAGACATAAAATCCCGAAGTAGAGTCCTGGGGAAGGCTTCAAGAGCTTGTCTGTCCCCGGTGCGAGGCAGCGTCAAGGCCTTTCCTTACAGAAGCTCGGCAGCCTGTTCTGCACAGCATTTGCAGACCCTTCTCAGGAGCCTGTGTTTGGAGGACTACCTATTAAGATTTAGTTTCACATATTTTGGTGGCCTCTCCTGGTGCTACTCTTGCCTGCTAGCAGCTACTACTGACCATTTGGAGTACGCTTGTACTCCGTGCCCTGTGCAGGTCATGACCCAAAGGCTTTCAAACCTGTTCCTCACCCTTCTATTGACTGTGGAGTGTAGTAGATGTCCAAAGGATGGTGCTTTTGGGAAGGTGAGCGTGATATTTTTTCAGCAGAAATGTCTTTGCAGACCCCTGATCTATCGCCGTGGGTGGGTGACCACGCAGAGCGCCAGCTTCCACCTGGTTTCTGGCTCTTCTCTACTGGCTTTGGGTTTGCTCTTGTTTAACCAAAGGTTTGTAAAGCAGAAAGGAGCCAGACGGTTCAAAATGAGCGCTGGAAGTGGGTTCAGAGGAAATAGGACCACGTAAGGTTTTCCCTCTGTTGGTAATTCTTTATGATGTCCGGATCTTTTCTTTTATGATCATGTGGTGCGGTGGGATAAGCGAGACAGGACTCTCCCCAACAAAGAGAATGACGATTACTGTCTTGCCTTTCACCTAATTAATGAGCACCTATAGAATAACTTCTCAAATGAGAGATTAACTTTGATATTTACTTTACCTTGCTGAGGCTGCAGTGTGTTTTTTACCGCCAAAGCTTTGAAACCAGACATTTTTACACATCTCCAGAAGCAGTGCAGAGGGTCAATCCTGGACACCCCCGTGCCCCCCTCCCTAGGTGTCTCCAGACTATGTTGGCTCCATCGCCACCTCCACCTGCGGCAGCTAATGCATCCCCAGGACGGGGCCAAGGCTCCGCTCTGCCCTCCCAGCAGATGACCCCTGTCTTCTCCTGTGGAGCCATCGCCAGTGCTGGTGGATGAAATATCCTCTCCCTGCTGTGATAACTAGACTCAATTTGGCCCTAAACTCCTCAGCAGGATTTGCGGTTTAACCTGAAAATACACAAAGGCAGTGCTACCTGCGGGAATGCTGGTTTAAAAATAGACCCTCTGGAGAGTGGGTGAGTAGCCATGCGGTAGCCGTTGCCTTTCTCGTCAGCGCTGATGTTTGTCGCATACTGTTGATTTTGAAATTACTATCCAAAGAGGAAAATCAAGTTCAAATCGGTGCAATTTTTCAGTCATACCATTGTTTTGCCCCCCCGTTGTTATAAGAAATGATGTCTGTGAAACAGGAGCTGTTAGAGAAACGGGATCTACCTTTCAGGGGGTTTTAGCATTTTGCACATGGTTGCGCCCCCTCACTGGGA